TACCTATATGAAAATCATGGATGGTAATAGAAATGGCTTCACCCTGATTTTTAAAACAAGTTCTAAGGAACACTCCCCACATGACATTCAAAGCAGTATTATATAAAGCAAAGCAACATACTCAATAAATAAATAATGGAGAAACTGCAGGAGAACAAAGTTAGGAAGAAAATCCAAAATAGTGTCATCACAGAAGTTTTTGCTGGGCTCTCAAAAACGAGCTTTTCATCACAGTGTCTTTTATAAATTCTGAGAGCAGAAACTACCTTATACATCTCTGCACCACTCCCACTGTCCAGATATCTATCCAAAAAAATTAGCTTATGTGACTATACATTTTCATCTCATTAAGTCACTGCTTATGGAATCAGGAAGCAGCTAAGCCATGACTTAGACAAGTTAAAGCCACCAAGTTTCAGCTAACAATGATCTGAAAAACCAAAGAGATCTGATCTTTGCCAGGAACTTTTCAGCCCATTCTTTTGTAGATCAGGCAGTGACTCAACAAAAGGAGAGTGAAGAAACAAGGAAAATAAATATAAAATAAATATTTTTAAGAGTAGATATATATTTATGAAATATGTTCATACCAGCCCTAACAGCCATAATAAATGAAATCCTAAGAATAAGCTGTCTTATGGGGCTGGGGTGGTGGTAGCTCAGTGGGAGGGCACTTGCTTAGCACGCGAGAGGCACTGGGTTCAATCCTTAGCACCACATAAAAATAAATAAACAAAATAAAAGTATTGTGTCCATCTGCAACTAAAAAAGTTATTTTTTAAAAAATAAACTGTCTTAAATAAATACCCTAGGCATCTCTAGTCTTTTCAAATATCCTGATTTTTAAAAAAAATTGCTAACATCCATGGTTTTCAATAAACAGTCACTTAAATGAATGATATGGAGACTGAATATGTAACACTGTAATCCTAATGCTGATGTATAATAGGTTCATAGTTTTTTTGTTAAAGACAACGCTAAACTTCCAGTCATATGAGGGGCATTGGAGAATTTCTTACTGACACTACACTGATCTCAAAAGTGTAAAATTTGCAAAAATTGTTTTGTTTCCATATAAATCAGGGCTGCCCAAGGGAGGGCAGCACATTCAGTTATATTGAACACCAGCCGCACTGTTGAATTTTTTCTAGAGTACAGTAAAATTTTGGCATCCATCTCTGCCACAGTGTGAATTATTTTTAATTAAAATTCTGAATAATAAAAATGGAATATGGCTGTGGTATGTCCTTAGTACTGTTTAGATAAAAGTACAGGGGCTGGGGATGTAGCTCTGTAGCAGAGTGCTTACCTAGCATGTGTGAGGCCAAATTTGATGCCCTGCAGAACAGGGGAAAAAAAAAAAAAAACTGAGGTAGTTGCACATTGTTTCCTAATTTAATCAACTCAAAGAGACATTATAATTTGGCTAGCACTTTCTCTAAGCCATTCTTCAGAAAACAGTTTTCTGAATCTAAATGTCACAATGTTCCTATTTGGTTTGAATTATCACTGCAAAATATAATGAAAAATAATTCTCAGTTTAATTGTGTTTGCCTAAATGAAAATGCAACACGATTAAGCAGGACAGATTTTCATTTTACCACCTCAACAAACACAAATAAGGACTACACATTTTCTAGTTCTGATTTCTCAGTGCATTCCAACTAGCCTTCTTCCTCAAGATAAACTTACTTTGCTATTAAAAACATATCAAGAGGCTGGGAGTGTAGCTCAGTAGTAGAGGGCTTACCCTACCATACATGGGGCCCCGAGTTCTATCCCCAGCACCACAAACATGTCAAGAATTTAGAAACTATGTCCACAAAAAGGTAAAATACAATAACATTAAGTGTTTTATAGAAACCTTTTTAAAAAGAAGAGAGGAAGCTCATACAAAAATAACCTTATTTAATAAAGAGTTCTCTTAAAGTAAGCTGTCTTGTACACTTATAGACTAATTCTAGAATGAGGAGAGCAGGAAGGTATTCTAAAGAGAACTGAGAAAGAGGTGCTGGTTTAAAATGAACTTAGATGGAGGCAGAGGACATAGTGTGCTGCCATGAAAACTCACTGAGACAGCCTTCATAGATGGAAAGACACTGTCCCTGTTTGTGGTTCACATTACTGAAAACTAATTACAAACTGGTACTGAAAAAGGTGATGAGAAGTGGCTCTGCAGTGAGATGACCAACACCAGCTTCCTTGGCTATGATCTGGCTGACTTATGATCTCACCATAAAATGGACACAGATAACTCATTTTCTTTTCAAAGTTGTTAGAAAAAGACTACAATAATGTGATAATGTGTATAGAAATATCCTCTCCTTTTTTTCCTCTTTCTGAATGTACAAAAGGATGCCTCTCCGTTGTTTGGAGGAATAGTCATGAAAATGAAGTTAATCCCACTACACAAAGCCACAGCAGACTTCCAACTTCTGCACCAAATATGGGCCATAGCTCAGAGGAAGGCATCTTTATGTGCTTCTGACTTTGAGTTGGAAAGAGCTGCCAACCAGGGAAAGCTGAGCTCTGTGACAACTTAGCAAAGTAAATCAGAGGGAAATCTGTCCTGGTTGTACAATAAATTAACACATAAAATGCCACATACTTTCCTAGCTAATGTGAAATATGAGGTTGCCCTGAAGAACAAATACCTCCCAATAGAATGCTCAGATCCAACCAACCAAGATTTGGAAGTGTGCTAATGATTATACAAAAGAGGAACCTAGCTCACCTTTATTGTGGTTCTAATGTCTACACTTTAGTTTATTTTTTGAAGCATCTTAACTAATAATTCATCACATCCAGCTTTCAAAACTTGAAAACAGAGACCTTGGGAAAAAAAACATTAAAAAAAAGTTTGGCCAAAATTATTATTGTTATTACAATTATTGCAAGATATTACAGATATTTATATTTACTGTAAAAGAAACTTCTACATTTTCAAGAATGCTTTGAATCAGCTAAACCTAGTAACAAAATATTGTTACTTAAAATAAGTGTCAATATTCCTTTGATCTCAACTGCAGAGACTGAAGTTTAACACTGATAAATAAATAATTCATGAGATTTGAGCTTTGAAGAGGATGAGGTTTACTGTTGTTGTTGTCTTGACTAGTACTTTTAGATTTTTATTAAGACTTATGTTTTCTTCCTTCTCTTCATGTTTGATATACAATCTAATGCCTGGGATAATTTCCAAACTTTTGGTAGTTCTAAGTTTCTTGTAAATCTGATAATCAAACTTCATTTATACTAATTTCTTAGGGCCAAAAAAATTTCTAACTGGGTTCAAGCAAACCAGTAAAAATGAGCTATGTAACAGTCTTTTTTTTTTTTTGCCACAATATCAGTTTGCATATTATTTAAAAATTACATATCTTCCAAAAAGAATGGCACCTTTATTCCTTCTTTTACTCCCTTTTACCCCTAAGAAAAGTTAAATATATGCATTTTCCTACACTATAAAAAAATGAGGCACAGGACCTAAAATTCTAATTAAGTTAAAAAAGAATGGGTAAATAATTTGATGTCAGGTTTATACCACTCACATTCTATCTGGCTGAATACATTGTGTGAGCAGTAAAGTTAGTGTTGTCTTCTCCATAATTAATACAGAATTTTAAAAACTAAAAATATAAAGTCATTTCTGAAGGAGACTAATAAAAGTGAGAGGTGGGTAAGAAGAAAAAGCAGGAGTTAAGGACACAGTGTCTATGATGACTGTTTCTTTTCTAACAGGTTTTTTTAAAACGGAATTCTTTCTCAGTACTGCCTGAGAACCACTATGGTTTTGTAAAGTCTGTAACAGTAATTACATGTAATCACCCACAAGTACATTTATTTGTCTTAAGCCTATAAATACTATGTTAGGAATACTAAACTATCTCCATTGGCTTATTTGTAAAAAGAAAAATATATTATATATTTATATTTTTATAAAGTTAACACTGAGGGCAGAGGAAAGGGAATGAGAAACAGTGTATAATCAGTCTCTTGGGACACAGAAACCAAATTGGGGTCTTGAGGCCACCTGGGTCAAGCAGTGTCCGAGGAAGAGTCATAAGAGGCGGAGACGATGAAATTGCCGCTGTTGGAATGCCCAGCCACTGACTGGGCGGCCTGCTGGCTGAGGTTGTTACAGATAAGCACCAGCTGGTTACTCTGGGCCTCAGACAAGGTGCTGCAGCTCTGATACACACTGAAGTTGGTTTTCCGCCCGGGGATGTTGCCCTTTTCACACATGGTCTTCACCATCTTGGCCAGCTTATTCTTGCCAAGGGCCTGGCAGTTGTACCAATGTAGAGCCGCCAAGTTCACAACTGGCTTGATGGACAAGTAGAAAGGGGCATCCTCATAGCGCATGGCAGGGGGCCGCCTCTGGGCATACTCTTTATAGTCCTGTACAGGGCAGGTCTGTGGGGCATGCTGGGTGGCATATACCCGCGAATCTGTTCCCCCTCTCTTGGTTTTGGCATTCAGATCACCAGTGTCTTGACCCATCCACTCCAAGTACTCCAGTCCTGTTTCTGTTACTCGGAGCCGGATATCACCCCATTTCAAAGTAGATCCATGGAAGCCTGTGCAGTGACCAAAAGCTTTTGTATTATTAAGCCAGACCAGGTTGAGGAGACCCTCAGGGTTATATCGGCTTAGCAGTCCTCTTTTTCGCAGTATGAGCTCATCAGCAAAGGTGAGCTTCATGGACTTGTGTGGCTTATTTCCTTTTCCTTTGCATCGGAGTTCAATCTGCTTCTGTTTGAGGGCCTCCTGGGAACGCTTGAATTCTTTATCCCTGGTGATACTGTAGCCATACCTGTGTTCTTTTAAGTACCGTTCCAGCCCACACTGGTAATTCGCCAAGCTGTTGGGTTCATACTCAGACCCATCCTTCTGCCTGGCATCAACAAAGAAAGAGGCAAGGTAGGCATCCAACTCCTTGCAAGGGATGACATAAATCTCTCTTGTTTCAGAAGGGTACTTCGAGATGAGGAACTCACGGAAATTGCGGAGCGCAGTCTGTGTGCTCCGGATGGTTTTCTCATTCTGCTCCCTGCTGAGCTCAGCTGCTCTTTCATCCTGGTCTGCAACAAATTGGGGAGGGGAGGGATAGAGAGGGTGTTGATGAGTTCAGACAATGCACTTTCTACTCTGAAATAAAGTTTCCTTTTATAATGAAAAGGGAAAAGAAGGAATCAATTGTACAGAGATCACTGATATAATGCCATTTACATGCTTGTCACAGTATAAAAGCCAACTTCAGTTTCACAAATGTACTACACAAGAATATAGGCCATTACAAAGTGAATTTCTTGTGTCACTGGCACAGTGAGATTAGAGGTAGCCTTCTTTTTGGGAAAAATAGAAAACAGAAATGTGCTATTTTTCCTATGCAGTATGTGTGGGCCCCATGAGAATTGATCCATTCATTCTGATGATTATCACTTCATTTGTGAAACCAGATGTTTTCCTGGTTCCATTTTACGGAATTAAACTAAAATACCCGAATTTGTTATTTTAACACATCATTAGAAATATGTATTTAAAAATGACTCAATATCTTTTATGGGCATTTGATACTTGCTCTTCTATAGCAATTCAGGTAAAATGTAAGTATTCAGTACATAACTGCAGAGTGGTTTGTAATGAGTGATTTAAAAACATTTAGCATTTTGGAGGAAAGCTTCGTGACTATAAAAAAAAAGGAGAATTAAATAAGAATTGTCAACTAGGGGCTATGGTTGTAGTTCAGTGGTAGAGTGCTTGCCTAGCATGTATGAGGCACTGGGTTCAATCCTTAGTACCACATAAAAATAAATAAATGTGTCTATCTACAAAAAGAGAGAGAGAGAGAGAGAGAATTAAAATTCAAATATACAAAAGCATACTTTTTGCTTCAATGAATTTGTTTCACTTATGCCATTTTTTTCCAGTTGAAATTATTTATGTATCAAAAATAAAGCCACTCATCTTTCCATCAAAAACATGGAAGCCACAGGTTGAATGTAACCTTTCACCAGCTGGCTTCTATGACTATTTATATGTAAAGCCAAAGGGGCCAGCACATTGTTTATTTTGGCTCCTTGTTCAAATATCCATCACAGCAGTTTTCAAACTTCAAGCAAATACTTTCTAAGAAATAAACATTCACAGACAACTTTAAGGTAAAATTTTCCAGTTCCTCAACTTTCACATGGGATCTTTTCTAAAACTTACTTATCTGAGAGTCTGAGTTTGTTGTCATCGCAACCCTAAATCTTCCGTGCTGTGGGGTATCAAAGACTTTTGAGAAGCAAAGCATAATTTATATATCAATGATTAAACTCCTAGTATTTCCTGTCCTTCTCTGTCTTACACAGATTGTGATATAGATGAAATCTGCCATTATATATTGGGTGTGGGACCTGAATTGAGGTGCTCTGAATTCAGGACATCTGAAGAGGCTTTATAGGAGAGGCAGGGTAAAACTGGAATATTCTATACAACTACCAAATGATCAATATAATGAAGAGGCTTAAATTTTAATTTATTTATTTCAGATTGATTGTGCTTTAATTCACAAGGTACTTAATAACTATTACCAAATCTTATGAGATACTGACTTCTTATGCTCAATCTTCATTTTCATTTAATAAAATATTCAATAATTTCTACTTACTCTTTACAAAAATAAACATGCTGAAAATCTTTGGGTGTCAATTTAAAAATGAGTGAGTGGTAGAAAAGTGTCTAAGGTTATTGGAAATAATTAAGCAGTATTGGTGGGTCTGCTGAAATGAGATATGGAAGGGGCTGAAGTGTGGGCATGGGCATATCACGAGTGTCGGTACCCTGGTGTGGCAGCCAGCTATCCCACTTCTGCCTCTCTTCCACATTTATCGCAATGAGCCAACCCACTCAGAGTTTATGGACACATTCACACCTCTTCTATTCATCTTAGCCTGGCCTTTTTGTCATGACTTTACCTCCTTTCTACTGGGCCTCAATCGGATTAGGAAATGTTACACTATCTTAAGTCTTTTCCAAGAGCTTGGAATGTAGAGAGGCTAGAAGGGCAAAGCTACCCTATTCATTTTACATGAATAAGGGCAAGGAAATGGTTTTAAAAATCAAGTAAAAGGGTATTTTTTTAGCTAATAACAAAATCAAACAAGATCAGAGAAAACTGATAATAAAATATACAACTATTACCATTATCTTGCATGTATCTCTACTTTTAGAAAATCTTCTGATCCGTTCCTTTTAAAAAACTTTTTATTGGGTGTAACATACACATAATACAGCAGACTAGTCATTAAGAGCATGTGATTTGTTTTAACAAATGAATACACCTGTGAATTCAGGATTGAATCAACAAAAAGAACATCACCAACACCCCAGAAGCCTTTTATTCTTCCAGTCTTTCCCTTGCACCAAGAAAATGGCTATTCTGACTTTAAACATCACAGGTTTGTTTGGACTATTACCATAGCACATGTGAATGGAATCTTAGGAGGCTTCTTTTGCCCAACCTTGTGCTTGTGAGCTTCACTCTCACTGCTGTGTATCTGCAGGCAACATGTACTCATTGCAGTGTAACATTCCATTGCATGAGTTTATCACCATTTATTTTCCATGCTGTTGTACATTATGTTTTATTCATTTTCAGTTTGGGGCTTATTTCTAATAAAACTGCTATGAACATTCTAGTAGGAATCTTTTGGTGATCCTGTGCCCTCATTTCTGTTGAGTATATAGTTAGGAAGTGGAAATTCTGAGTCATAAGCAATAATATCCTCAGCCTTAGCAGGTACCAAAAACCAATATTCCATTGGTTGTGCCAGTTTACTTTTCCACCATGACTATATGAGTTCAGGTTGCTCCGCATCTTCAACAATGCTAAAAAATGTCAGTCTTTTTATTTTATCCATTCTGGTGGGTGTGTAGTGGTATTGCATTGTGATTTAAATTTTTGTTTCCCTGATGACTACTGATGTTGAACACCTCTTCATATATTTACTGGCCATTTGGATAGCCTATTTTGTGAAGTGCCTGCTCCAAGTCGTTAGCCTATTTTTCTATTAGATTGCTCTTTGCTTACTGTTTGGTTATGAGTCTTTCTTAGATATATGGCTTTCAAATATATTCTGCAGTGTCTTGCTTTTTTACTTTGTGTCTTTTTAAAATTATTATTATTTCTTATATACATGACAACAGTGGAGTGCATTACATTCATAATAATTGTGACTTTTAATGAACAACAGTTCTTAATGTAGTCTGATTTGTTGGTAGATATATATATATGTATATATAACATTTTATATATATATATTGTTTATTCCAAGGTCATGAAAGATCTTCTATTTCTTCCAAAAGCTTTAACTGTTTTGATTTGTCATCCACCTAGAATTAATTTTCACGTTTCAATCTGTCATTTACTAGAATATCATCTACATGTTCAGAGAAATTAAGATTGTTTTTTTAAAAATATTTTTTATGCATTTGATTTTAATTAATGAATATTCAATCCCCAACACCAATAAATAAGCAAATAGGCAATAGAAGCTTCTGTTACAGTTGTCTAAAAGGGACAAATGGGCACAGAGTGGAGGGTAAGTTAGTTACCCTTCCAGATCAACTTCTGTTACTGTTTCCCTCTGCAATCAATATTACTAACTGATGAGGTACAAATTTTAGGTTCATCTTTTTCTTTCAAGATGGAGAAATAAATATACTATGCATCCTATTTTACACCTTGCTTTTACCATTAACAATGTATTACAGATAGCTCCACAGTATTTTATATGGATATGCCATAATACATTCATCCAACTTATTAATTCTCTGCAGAGATGCATTTGCATTATTTCCATCAGTTACTATTACATACAATGTTGTAACTGTACATAAAAGCTCCCATACATGTGTAAATACATATACAGAATGAATTTCTGAAAAGTAGAACTGCTATACTGTTATTGCACTGCAGTTTATACTCTTATAGGATATGAGTATTAGGGCTAGGGTTGTGGCTCAGGGATAGAGCCTTGCCTAGCATGTGCAAGGCACTGGGTTCAAGTCTCAGCACCATATATAAATAAATTAATAAAATAAAGACCTATCAACATCTTAAAAAAAAACTATATGCGTACTAGTTTAATCACCTCTCCAGTTAATAATGCATTACCAAACTGTTTAATATGTGCTTATTTAATTGATGAACTATTCCTTGACTTATTTTCCATTTCTTTTTTTTTTAACTTTTTTTAGTTGTAGTTGGACACAATAGGTTTATTTATTTATTTTTATGTGGTGCTGAGGATTGAACCTTGTGCCTCCCACGTGCTAGGCAAGTGCTCTACTGCCGAGCCACAACTCCAGTCCTCCATTTCTTTTTATCAGTGAGATTTAATATTTTTTTCAAATATTTATCAGTTCCCTGAATTTTCTCATTGAATTTTTTGTCCTATCCATTTTCTTTTATTATATTGATTTATAGGAGCTCAACTACATTTAGAAATCTTTATATTTATATGTAAGAAGTTTTTATACTTACATAGTCTTAATTCTTTTTTAAAAAATACCTTTATTTTATGTGGTGCTGAGAATCAAACCCAGTACCTCATATGTGCCAGGCAAGTGCTCTACCACTGAGTCACAACCCCAACCCCTTAATTCTTAATATTTATTAACATATTAGCCTTATATTTTATAAAGTGGATTTAGCCCTCTGTATTACATATATACAAATCAATATACATACACTATTATACATAAATACATACATGTAGAAGTTCTAGAACCATGTTACCATGCTAAATAACAATGATAGTTGTTGCTCATTACTGATACAATGAAAAAGTCATCTAGTATTTTCTCTTTACAGAATGTTAACTTTGGGGTTAAATGATATACATAGATTGACAGAAATCTATTAAAGACTTGTTAAAGAGCTATCTTCCAATTCATATTTTAACAGTGTTTTTTTTTTAATCAAATGGGTTTCCAGCACCTGCAACATGATGATATAATGTTTCTTTTGTGGTATTAAAAGATTTCCTACTATGGAAGCATAATTTCATGCCTGTTATGAATCCTACTTGGT